GTCTCCAGAGGCTAAACATCCGCCCGCGTTGCACTGTGGGAATGTGATGCCTGGGGGCGAAAGCTTTTACATAGCCGCAGAAGCATCAACAGCTACAGTATGTGTGAAACAATTAAACAGTTAAAACCATTGTAAGGTTGTGACACAAAGGGAAGACGTGTATTAATCCACGTTCATAGCGTGAATGTGATGACGGGCTGACAAGGCAATTTACGGCACCCTACCGCAACATCGTTGGAGATGTACAGGGAGGAAAGTGAAAGATTTGACCTTAAGGCCTCGGAGGGAAAAAATGACTAAAGAGGGGAAAATGGGAGCTGTAAACTCTGCTTGGGGTGATTTCATGGCTGCTTGTAATCTACTTATGAGAGGGCGAGCAGCAGAGAGAGAGGAAGGAGGGAGCATGAGAGAAGAAAAGAAGAAAAAAGTGAAGATGAAAAATGCAAAAAGAGAGGAGAGTTCCGGATCTAGTCTAGAAGTGGGGACTCTATGTATCTATCAACCTCGCAAATGATTGTAATGAACCGGTCTTTGTGCCATCTTACAAATGTGGACGAAATGTTTGCAGTATTGATGCAATGACCCAGAAATGAAAGAAATACATTAATAAAAAGGATAATTAAATAACATTGTATTTACAACTCTGGCCACAAATAACAATATAAAAATCAAAAAGCGGAATCAATAGAGTGCAGATCTCAGCCAGGTGAGTCTCTCCCTTCCAAAACACTTGAATCTCACCAAATTGCTACTCTTGGCAGCCAAGACAACAATAATGGGGATTTATTCATCTTGTTTCAAGCCTATAACTTAAGTGGATCATAACATATCGGGTATGGAACTAATCTGGTCGTCCGGGTTCAAAATGAGACCAAACTTTTCCATCAATGTCAGTCTTTGAACCACTACAAAGGCAGAAAATGTGGCCGGCAACAGACTAGGCAGGTCATGTTTTCAGGAAATGCTTTTTTGCTAGTGAAGCAGTTGTTGATCACTTGCGTCCTCAGTCGATGACGGTATAAAACAATAAAATTGGTAATTTAAAAATTGAATCAACGCATCCTAGAGAAGTCCTTGAGCATATTCATAAATGTGCACAAAATCTATTAGGCTTGATAGGTCAAGTAGTGTGCAAGATAAGCTGTGGACAGACACAGACACACAACCGAACGCATTATCTTACGCCTTGCGAGGGACGAATACAAAATTAAATAAGCAGCTTTAGCCCTAATAATATGGCTGTAATATATTAGTGCACAGTAATAACTGAAGGTTACTCTCATATGAAAGGCTGTAACTATTGACAATTTTTTTTCCTTTTGAAATAATCCTGCAATTTCTTTCTCGATCTTTTTGATCATTAAAAAGTGGAAACATGTTAATGATGCTATGCTACGCAAGGTCCTACAGCCCGAGGTGAAGGCATCAAAATCGTTTGTTTTGTCCAATAAAAAAACATAAAGGTATTCAGTTCATTACGATATAAGACAAAGACAAGAATATCGATGCCGATCGGACGCCAGAGCCAGGTAACGCTCGTTTGCTAACGATTATTTGATTATAAAAGCAGTTGATGAATAATCATGTCAGCTGGACAATAAGAGGACACTGTTAAAAAATAGAAGTTTTCCCCAGTGAAAGTCAAACTAATGTGTGAAAGTTACTAATAAACAGTATTTCACAGTGCAGATGTCTTTATAAAGTGAGAAGACTGTGTGAGAGCCCAACATTACGTCCCATTTTCAAAAGCTTTTGATGATTTATAATTGAGGACGTTTGCACCAAAAAAAAGCTAGAAAGATTACAATACTGAGCCCTAATTACAACTCTCCAGCCTTTCTCCACGGCCGACAGACAGTTCTATAATGCTCCCTTGTGAAGTCAGTCTCCACACCAGTTAACATTTCCACATAAAGTCAAATGACTACGAATCTTCCTCTTTCACAGGCCGCTTCGCAGACATTTCTAACTGCTGTTTTTGTCCCTTTCTGAGTAGTGGACTTGAATAAATCAGGTTGAGAAATCTGACTGCATCGCTTTTCACATAATTTGGATAAATGCGGCGGCCTGCAGGACCAGCGAGGACACGGGCACTGCCAAACATCACATTTCACGAGCCCTGAGTTTCTTCATGTTGAAATTGGTTTGAAGTGGAATGTAATGGAATGTAATGCATGTGCACGATAACAGGTCGGACCTCTGTAGCCATTTCTGCGTAAACCGAAATGTTGAGGCGAGGCGGCAGACTTCCTCGAGCCCTTACAGGAACACACAAATAAACAGTGGAGAGATGTGACTGTCAGTATTCCAGAGACGCAGCACTGAACGCTGTTTGCTGTGCAGCCAACAGACGCGATGCTGAATATGCAGTCGCTGGAGTCCATGCAAAACACATGAACCCCTTTAAACACAACCGAACGAATTCATGGAATGAGATGTTTGTTTCCTGAAAGTTTACAAGTCGGTAAAAAAAAACTCGACATTTCAACAATGTGAGAAGACAAAGCAGTCACAGAGAGGAATCTGAACACACATGTCAAAGGTCAGCAACACGTGCCTGCAAGAGGTTCATGTTTCACCTCCCTCTTAGCTCACCCTCCGGGTATTTCCTCTGTGGTGGACTGGCTGGCTGTTGTACTGAGGTCGCCATCACCTGAGAGGGCAGCGGTGCCTCTACGTGCAGACTCCTAACCACACTGAAAGTCCTAATCATGCCGTACAGCAACATGTCGTCATGGCTGCTATTACGCGCCGGAATGAGTGGGGGTGAGTCACTACCACTTCCATTTGATAAGGCCAGACTTCTCTCAGTGAATGGAAAATGTTTTTTTTCAGCTACTATTCTCGCTCGACTCTAGACGTCTAGACCTCTCCAGTCGAGCTCCCTGGAGAATCATAATCTTTACCATTTGTCTCTGTAAACCTGTGTGCAGGAAGCCGGCTGGAGGTATCCCCTCCCACAATGCAGCTTTAGAGGGCAGCTCCACAGATTTTACACATCATTTACAGGCAGGGGTTGAATTTGCATTTGCTGTAATTTAAAATTTAAAATAAATTTGCAAAAAAAGGGATAAAAAGGATGCCGAAATAACTACATAATAATACTGATTTGTAAAAAAAATCGGAATCTTTGATAGTTCCGGCTGCAAGACGACAAGCAAACAACTTTTAAAATGCTTGTTTTTCGGAACGAAGTTTGGATGATTACTGCAAGGCTTCGACTAACGTTGTGTCTGCTCAATCAGCACTCGGAATAGCCATGAGTACTGCAGCGACGTTATTCTTCATACCATAGATACACATATGGCGAACCACAGATGATGGTACATTTTGGGGCCTCTACAAATATGAGGTAGAGCTCTGGGTGCTCTCAGACAGCTTGTTTCCACCATATCTGACTCAACAAAGCCAGGACGTCAGCGACGATAGCAGCAGCATCTCGATGCCCAGTCGTGTGCCAGACAACAACGAGCAACGAGCTTAAACTCACTATAAATCTCGGTGAAGTAGAGAGACGCTGCAGATTCATGTGATGTCACTATGAAAAACCCACATTGTTTTCTCATTGTCATTTGATACCTTGTTATTGTGAAAGAACGATTATAGCTGACAAGCTCCGGGACTCAATTGCTAGTTTTTCAATTCAAGCCAACCAGAACAACGTCTAAATCCGAACAGTTGCTTTTGAACAAAAAAAAACTCTGCTAGGATGTCAGCGCATGTTTTGAGTGCCTTATGAAAAATGCTTTATTATTTTTTAAAGAAGTAGAGGAGTGGGTCAGAGCGAGAGAGAGAGTTAGTTCTGGTTTGCAGTTTGCTCATAACGTTGGAATGTGGATCCATGAGCCCTGCACAGCGAGCAGAGCGATAGCGCTCTGCTTTTGGTGGCAATTAGGACGGAGCTTATTGGCCGGCCCGGAGAGCGATGCTCACCGGACCCTTTGGAAGGGTCCGGACGGACGACTCTGACAGTTATGAGTGCAACACCTAATAATTACCAGTTTAACTTCACTTTCACTGACACACTGCCTGCAGTGACACACAGCAGGCCATTCAGAAAGGTTATTAAACCAGAGTCACTTTGGGTGATTGGCTTTAAGTGTACGGAGCTGTTTCCAGCCAACACCTAGGTAATGTATTACTTAAAGGGGGTTTAGTCATTGTACAATTGTATACCGTTTACTGAAAACTCTGGAGGACATTTGTCAAGTCTGAAAGAAAATCCTGAGTGATGTCATCAGGGTCATCTTGAGTCTAGGGATTGTCATAGAAAGTGTAACAAAGTGGGGGTCTGGTTGACCACGCTAGAAAAGTCCCTGTTAAGTTGTATCGTGGGAAACGTAGCATCCAGCGGTTTTGGAACGTGACCTATACCAGTCTCTAAAGGTGAGGACATTCTGTTTTAATCTGTCTGTCACAACCAATATGACACGGAGAGCACAATTCTACAATAAATTATAAAGATGATGAGATGCATGATGAATGCAGTAAATGTTCATTCATTTGGGCTTCAACAGCAAAATAAGTTTGGAAATCAATCACTGATAACAGCCTGTGAGAGAAAACTTTTTGATAAATAGTGCAGTAAAATGGTGCTCTCCAGCTGTGCCACTGCTCCCTGTTGTACACCAGGTGCTCAATATATAATGTGCATTGTGACTTCTTCCATAACGGCCCTGCCTGAATACAGCCATAACTAAGATTGATGTACAGTAACAGACTCCCTCTGAAAGACAAAACGCCATTACCAAAACAGATAGAAGAAGGCAGTTATGTTGCGCATTCCAAGTATGAACAGGGTTTATGAGACTTCCGGTGTTCATATATATTGTAATGTATGGAATGTATGATTTACATTCCATGTAAATAAAGCTTAAGGTGTCAACAAACACATGTCCTTTGGGCAGACAGTAAATGTAAATGAAAAACAACAGAAGTTTTACAAAAGGTTCACGAAGCCTCGAAGCGAAAGAAGTGATTGATGGAGTGAGTGAGTTTACCTCGACATGGTTGGGGAGGGTGTTAACAAATTTAAAACCCGGTATTCTCTTGTCGCTGCACACCACGCCCACGTCTTCACTGTGTTTGCAGTCTGAAACGCCGATTCCATTGGAGGGACACAGTGCCAAGGTCTTTTCTTTGCCTGTGCAGTGGAGATTGTCGAACCAGATGGGTCCTGAAGAGACAAAAGAGAAATCGGTCGGTGCTTTCATGGGGAGGAATTTCATCCCTTTGGTAGTGGAAACAATGGAGAAATGGATTTCTTTTGAAGGCAAACCTGGTTTCTACAAGTGGTGAGGCATTTACTGTGAAGCAGTTTCCATTGCATAGCAGTACAAATGAGTCCTACATTGAAAGATGATGCATATGGGTTCCTTCAATATACTGCATGTTCAGTCAGTGTTGGCCTTGTATTAAAAATGTAATGGTATCCATTTTTATTGTGAGGAATATGACGATATTTGTTAGAGAACGTAACATGTTGCAGTCCACTCCCCTCAAATAGGGCAGCTTGGTCAGAGGTTACGCATCAAACTATGATGCTCTATGAGGCCAGTGTCATGGCGGGAGAAAAGCAGGAAGTCAAGTGAAACCAAAAAGTCAGTGTGGACTTATTTTAAGTTGACGATACGTGACGTTTTCACGTCACTTACAAAAGACACAACACAAGCAGACTTTAGCCCGGGAGACAGGTGTCCGTGTCCCGTGTGAAACCTAAAGTCAACATGGACATATTTAGAGTTACGCACATTACAGAACTTGATTATGTTGTTTAGGTAACAGAGCTTACGCAACATAGCCTACTTACCTATGTAACAAACATGTTTGAACCCAAACTACTATCTTTTCATAAACCTAACCAAATTTTCTTTAGAAAGACAGTGCATGCATCTTAAGAGGGGAAATTGACACAAACAAAACTGACGGTAGACGGGTACATGGACCGTCATAGTTTGAAGCGTAGAGTCACTGACCAAGCTGCCGAGTTTGAAGATTGTGGAGGTAGAACATGTTGCACACTGAATGTTTCCAACCCGACAAGAGGACAAACATTGACAAAACAGTGTGTTCCTTTACCTACCTTGTCCTTTCCCATATTTTGAAGAAGGTGACCATGAGGTGGCTTCCAGGTAGCCCAGCTCCCTGCACACCACCTGAGCGGCGTGGATAGTGAAGTCGTCATCACAGACAGTGCCCCATTCAGCGTTGTAGAAAACCTCCACGCGACCCTCGTTGTGTTTCCTCTTGTCCCCCGCCAAGCGGAGCTGGATCCTGGGCGTGTCCGGCGTCAGCTGGGGGGCGCTGTACTGCTCCTGTTCCGGGTCAGGGAAGCCCGGCGGGTAGCCGAGGTGTTCGTACTGGGCAAGAGCCAGCTGTATTAGCACTAACAGAACGACAGTGCAGCAGGGCGGACACAGGGTGGTCGGCATTTTGACCGGAACTGATGAAAAGAGAAAAGCATTCATTAAATTCAGATGGTTCTTCACAATAGTTTATTAGAGAGGAATCAGACTGAAGAATAAGTATGGGAAGGGACTTCTCGCCATGTTGTTGTTCCACATGGAATATTAAAGCTGCACTAAACCATGTTTTCATACTGACAACAGATTAAATGTCGATGTGTAGGATGAAAGAGGTCACTTGTAGCGACAACCCCCCTTAAAAATCATCACCCGACTCTGCTGTTCCCGTTTTAGCGTCTATCAGCTCATTGCGTTGGTTTTGGCCTGTAAATGTTTTTTTGGTTCCCTCTCTCCGCAGGCAACTGTTTTTAATGAAAAGGCTCTGATAAACCTACTGTATGCTTCTCACCCTGCGCCAAACAGACGACGAAGTTAGCAACTAGCATTTAGAATCAAGATATTTGCCATAGAAGTTGGTGGAGACCACAGAGCTAAAAGGAGAGTGAATATATGAAGTTAATTAAACAACTCCAAGTTGCTAATGTTGCTCTACTAGTTGTGTAAAAATCCATTAGTTTGCTAACATGTTTGGACAGCTTCACACATATGTCAATGTTGCATTTTTAGCTGAAGCCACTGCCACCACGTGGTGAAAAGGTGTTTATAGCAGCTTTAAATTAATTATCTTTACTTTTATTATTGTTTTGGAGACTGAATAAATAAGATTACTTCTTTTGCAGTCAATTAAGGGCACTGTCCACAAATGAACGGTATTCTTTTTTAATACTTTTTCAAAAAACATAAAAATTCTAAAGGTATTACGTCCATATGCAGCACAGGATTTTTCACATGACAAAGGACACCTTCGTCTTTACAACAGCAAATAGAAACATTTTCAAAACTTGCTATGGCTTGAATTACTATTGTGATGTGTCAATAGATGGAATAAAGTGGCTAAATATTAATGCTACGATGTGGAAAAAGCTGCACAACTATTCTGTGAAAATGACTGTGTCCGAATGAATGTGTCTCAAGAGCTAATCATTCGTTAGTTGTCTCTGCGATAACTTCAGAAAATTAGTCCAAGAAGAGCTGGACTCAAGCCTGAAACAGAGCTGCAGGGTGACGTAATGACAAACTCCAACAGAAAAACACATGATTTATGGCTACAGGCCCCCGCGTCTAAGAGTAAATCACAATTCAAAGCCAGACTGACTGACACAACCACGAGCCCATGGTCGGACAAAACGTGACTCGGAACACAACTGAAACCATCCACAGACTCATCAACAGCTGTGTTTCCACGACCACTACATGTTTAACATCACAAGCTCCAAATCTTGCGCTTTTGTGTCAAAACATCTGGCAAGGAAACAGATGATCCTTCAACTGCAGGGTTTCTACTTTCCTCATAGTAACGTGGCAGTGCTTACACAAGCTGGAAACAGCGCACACACACACACACACACACACACACATTACAGAATGAACAGATGGAACTGAGCCCACAGCCTCTGGGTCCGCTTACAATGTGTCGGTCCTAACAGCGATATTTTCATTAGAGGAAACATGGGCAGTATACATATAAACTGAGGTTCATTCAGGCGATGCTTACAGAACCAAACTTTCTGATCGTAAAAAAGAAAAAGATCCCTTTCATAATTTTTCTTGTGTGAAATGAGTTGACATAAAGAAAGCATTAGGATTGGACAAAGCTGCAGCCGCTGAGCAACATCGAATCTAAACAGAGAAAACGTATCCAGGATGTTCTGGCTCCCCTTTTCACATTCTGCACAAAACACAATCTCAAGATCTTCCCGGAACCAGAGAACCTGGAAATCTGAAACCTCTACTGCCTTTCTCTTAAGAAACACTGACCAGATGTTTTTTGAAGAAGTTGTGCTCATGAGGATATTTTGCAACAAATGCTTTCAAAATGACTTGATGTCAGAGGCATCGTGCTGTGAGGAAGGCCAGAATGGCTTTTGGGTCGTATGCACAAACGGCTTTCACCTTCATGGAAGTCAGTTAACATGAGTCCCACCTCCTGCTGGAGGGGACGATTTAAAAGGTCAAAATGTCAGTTTATAAGAATCTGAAGCGCTTCACTGCAAGTAGACACAAAGAGCAGGGCTGGGATTTTAAGACAGTCATTTTTTAAAACATTTTAAAAGAAACAAAGAAAACGGCCTGATTCATATTTATTGTATAGGTGCATGTAGATATGTGTAGAAAAAGAGGCCTATGTTTCTTTCCAATCATGTAGATTATTTTCATTAACCCTGGATATGTTCAGACTAATCTTTTCATCGTTTAGTCAATTGAATGAAATTTAAAAAAAAAAGCTCATTAAAAGTTCCAGAGGCTCAGGTGACATCTTCAGAAGTTGTCTGAGCTTCCAATTCATTTTCTGACAATCGACTAATTGGTTAATTGACTAAAAGCTACTGTAAGTATCTATGTACTGTGATCAAACGTAATGCACTGTGAACTACCCACATGTCTAAAATTATGTAAAAAAAACTTAAATAAAACAGTCTGTTTCTGTAATTGTAGCTCAGATCTACCGAGGACAGACTTTAGAAAGACAGGGCACAACTTTAAAGCATGATATATATAACCACTAACAGTCACACACGATGCAAACGGCAGCATCATCGCAGGACAACATGATAACTGACCATCAGACATTCTTTAAAAACAAAGGCTTTAAGCTCTGAGTGGTACATTGTTGAGGTAACTCTCACGTGCTTTTAGCTCTAGTTGAACTTACTTTCCGTGTCCCTCCTCGGGCTGCGATTTTTTTTGCAGGCTGCAGAACAAAAACCTGAAGTCATCTGCTTCTCCCCTTCTCTCTAAACTTTCACTCTTTCTCCTGCAAAAGCTGCAGCTGCGGGACTGGAGGGGCGGTGGCCCCGCCCACTGACGCCCACCTTAACGATGACCTCACCGCAGATGGCCCGGGACGTGGAAATATAGCGGATCCGACCGTGAACACACTCTCTGATGGCATTATTATGAGCTGATTTATTGAGGGGCGACCGTGCTGCCTTCAAAGACTGTCGTAAACATTGGTAACAACGCCGAGGCGATTGTTGAACTACCATGAAGAAATGGGGCGATGGGAGAGCATCTATTTAATGGAAAAGTACTGGGCAGAATGTGATTTCAGTAGATAATATGTAAGCATATGTATGATAAACCGACCCAGTTTGGGGTCGTCATTAGTTGTCTCTTTAGCTTACACAAAAATGGTGGAACTACAAAAATAATACTATTCATGTATTTGCTTGTAATGACTTTTATTTGGTATTCACGATAACCATGATGTTTTAAAAAAGTGAAATATTGATATCATGGTAACAATACACATATGACAGTGTAAATAGGCCTATTCCAGAGGCTCTTGAATCCCACTTTTGTACAGTAATGAACAGACTCCGCCTCCCTACACGTGTATTTTGAGTGTACGTGTAAGAGACAAAACATACAATAAACAAAGTTAAAGATGAGTTTCATTGATGTTATTATTTTATTTATTTGATCAAATTTGATATAACTATTGCCATAATATCGTAAATCATTCATATTGAGGCCATGACAATCATGTAGTGAAAATCTGATGTAATATTTTGCCCGGGCATTAGTTTTCTATGATGTGATGATATCGTTACCGTGAAATCGTTTGCCCCGCGATAATCGTGTGTATATTGTGACAGCCCGGAGCCGCTCTGACGACCATCAACGCATGCAAACGCTTCAGTGAACTGAAGCAAAGAATTCTTACAGCCAACATTAACCTGAAGGCTAAAGAAACTAGCGTTAACGTTACGTACACACTGACAAAATCTAGTTGGGTTTCCACTGCAGCGAGCTGCTGTTTTGAGCAGAGAAGCCCCGATGAACCCCACTGTAGGTTACAGTAACGGCCCAGCAACAGCAAGCACGACAGGCAAAGTTAGCAGCTAGCATGGTGGACAAAACAAGCTAAAGAGCCACATATCTAAAGGAAATAGTGGCACCCAAAATGAGGTTTTATCAGGTTGTCAAGAATACAACTCCAAATGAATGCTAATAGTGCGCCATATGAATGTGTAGAGCAGCTTGTTTCTGCTGCGCAACAGGTTGAAATATTAGTCTAGTGTGCTGAGGTTTAGCTGGACAAGTTTCAGGCCTCAAATTAAACACAACAACAAACAACACCTAAACTATTTGATTATTGGTTACATTTCGGGGTCATCAGTTTACAATACATGGGGGCGCGCAAGGAAAACAAAGTAGGAGTATGATTTGTGCTCTTTAAACTGTTGCACTGCATTGCTAAACTCACAATAAAACACTGAATGTGCTCCGTTGGATTCTCAAGTGCTTTTGGCTGGAACCAAACGGCTGGAAGATAATAAACTAATTATTGTGTGTTCTTATTTTGGCTTCTGCCTCGTTTAAGAAATTAATGTCACAGAGCTCTGCTGTACTTGAAAATGTCTCTCAGGCTTAATTATGAAAATGTGCTGTTATAATTATTGTACATGTGGTGCAATACATTAGTAAATAGTAACATTATTAACAAATTGTCTGCAATTACGTCACATCTCTGCAGGTATTCTTTATTATATATACCACCCTCTCATGCATTTGACCTCAACTATATTTCCGCAAGTACATGAAGGCAACTTTGACCTGTGACGTGTTGGAGAATATTTGCCCACTCATCTGTTCTTCATTTGGCACACGTTGACACAATTTGTTTGTGACGTATAATTCAACACGCATCAGTGTGCAGCATAAATCCTGAAAGTGTTGAAACGCTTCCCTGGACAGAACTCTACTCTGCTGCCACCTTGTGGGACATTGTTTCTTCCAGTAATGTTGCAAACTTTGTGGCTGACAAGTATAACAAAACGTCAGCTGATGTTCCACATCATGTATAATCTGATTCGTTCATGTCTCATAATGATCATCATTATGTTCTCTTCCAAGATTTGATATGATACGACACGGTTGGATTCTGTGTTCTCACCATATTTGTGGCCTCCAAAACAGTCATGTGAAGTGTCTTGAACTCACATTTCTCACATTTTGGTTTTGTTGTGTGACTTCTCGAAAACTTATCGAGTCTTTCACGAGGTATAGGTTCGACCATCTATAGCTGTCGTTGCAGTGCTGGTGGCATCTGCTGGTCATGTGCTCCTCCACTTTACTGCACTGCTGCTGCCGGTTCTTTCGTTACTGAGACAACGACGACACATGGAGCAGTGACTCGATCATGATCAATGGCCCGTGAACTCACTTCATCTTCCCCTCTTTCATTTCTGCACAGCTGAGTTGTCGCACAACCCAGAGTGCGGCTTTGACTGTCAAGGGGAACAAGTGAGACAAATACGAATTACATCTTTGCCTTTCAATGTCACAGCTATTATAATCAGGATTACTAGCAATGTCACTTAAAGGCCTGTTGTCCTGATTCCATGTATGTATATTTATACACATCTCTAAAGTTCACAAATGAACACATTTCATTACATTTGTTCAATTTGTACAAAAAACACAGTTTAAAAAGACAAGTTGTGGTTTTAATTTATCTGATACTTTAGATCAGCATCTGCTCTAATAAGGAAATGTTGGCATGCTAACAACACACTAAACTAATGCTATGTTCACACTATGAGCAACAAAAGCAACAAAAGGGCCAAGTGTGGCCAGATACGCTGTCGGCGAGTCGCCGTTGAAGTCTTGCGCAAGCGCTTGGTGACGTCGTTATGTCGTGAAATACACTAACGACATTTCTCTTGGATGAACAGGGCTGAACAGGGCTAAACAAAAACATATGATTGGTTGACGCTTTGTCGCTTCATTGGAGCACTGTTGAGACCTGGTCAACATTGATTGTTGAGCAACAAGCCCGTCACACAGTGTAAGTGTTGGGCGTCAGTTTGTAGCTTCATGTCTCCGGCCTTAAAACAATGACTTGTAGCCTGTTGCTGTGTCGCTCATAGTGTGAACTCAGCATAAAATGGTGAATATGGAAAATAATAAACCTGCTGAACTTCAGCATTGTGCGCTTGTTAGCATGCTGACATTTGCATTAGCGCAAAGCAAGACTGCAAGTACAGAATTGATACCATGTGTTAATAAATGAGATTTAGTGGTGCTATGAAGGCTCATTATCTTTTCATCTTTGGACAGAACCAGGGTTAGCTTGAGATTTACCGTACAGACACAAGAGTGGCATCGGGGTCATCACTATGTGTCCAGGGTCGTATGTTATCATATAATCATACACTGTAATAGAACAGTAAGGGCTATTTCCTCAGTTCAGGGAGATGTACGTTTCAAATGCAGTTTGAATGGTAAAAATCCGTCGCAAATTTGAGATTACAGGTTTAAGCATTAACACATCACTAGGGCTTTTGTTAACTTATTGAGCTAGGTAAATATACACTGAACATTTGACCTAGAGAAAAAACACTGCCGACAACATCAAATCCCTTGAAAAGTATCCTAAATGTGTCATATTAAGCTGGGGAACCCCCAAGCAGCATAGAACCCTGGGAACACAGATACGCTCCTGTGTTATAAATGTTCTCGTCTAACTCTGCAAAAAAGCATGCGCATTTCACAAAATCTCAATCTATTCCTTCAATGAAGACATTTGTAGAATCAACACATAGGTTATAAGTCACCCTCAGTCCTGCAAGGTTACAACCGAGCACCAGACCTCCCCACCGCTTCCCATTAGAATGGGAGCTCTGAGTCTTCACTCAATGGTGTCCTGCTGTCACTCTGTCTTATGCGTTTCGCCGGTTTCACTCACACAACTCTTCGTTGAGCCCTGTGCCGTACACATTCACCGCGGACTTCCCTCGGGGGGTTTCTCTACTTCTGTCTTTTGTGGTTTTGGCAAATAAAGTACTTCAGCAGGTATTTGTTATGAAGGTCAACTGTTACAGCAATGTTTGGCCAGCCTCTCTGTGGTGGACCAGAATGTCTGGGAAGAGTATCAGCCAAATCACAGCTATGGCTAACTGTTATGTATGTCTCGTTCCCTTTTTAACTTCAGCTAAAAGTTAAAAACGTGTCATTGAGGGAAAACACTACAAGACGTCTTGAGAGGATGAGATCAGCGGTATCATTGTTTACAGTCTCAACAGAAGTCTGCATGGAAGAGTTGAGTTGAAGCACAAAGATGGAAACCTTTACATAAAATGACAACATACATTTTAAATTTCCGGATTTGTGTAAGACTTCACATTGTTATTGCAAACTCGGACAAATAATTTATATTTACAAAAAAATACCACGTCATCATTCAGTATTCATTTAGTTTAAACCTGGTATTTTGCACAGTTACAGATAAAGATCAGGCTACACTGATATTATTAGTATTATACTATTAGTAGAATTAGATTCCAGTGGTGCTTGCAAAGGGTTGTGTCTGACTCGTGTGATCCAAAAAGAGAAATGTAATCATTTCCTAAATTCACAACATGTTTTTATCCAGCAAAATATTCTGCTTCAATCCATATTTGTTGGCGTTCGCCTTTCAAAAACAACGTTTTTACTGCCACCAAAAAATACAGCATAGGAAGGGAGTGTGCCATCTCAGTGCGATTTGTCAGCAGCGACATGGTTGCAGATTGCAACCAACTGAATATCGCTATAACGCTAACGTTGCTTTATGCTCCATCAGACATCAGTTCAACCAAATTTCCTTTCTAAATTATTGAAATGATTAAACTCTCTTTTTTACATCCTGTGATGTAATAAAAAAAAAAAATTCTGTGATTAAATTGAATTTGATGACAATTAAATCTAAGCATTTATGGGGGTTTTTTTAAGTTGGAGTGCAATTGTGGCAAACATTTTTCAGTTTCATACCCTCAAGGTTCTCTCAGCTGGCTAGCAAGAGATTTAACAGTGCACGAGGAGATTGTTTTGGCAAAGCACACTTTATTTTACTCTTTGGAGAAAAAACAATTTCATATATAATTTCAAATAAATATTTACACCCAAAACAAACACAGATAATTATCAGTGTTCAGCTGCTTGTACATTCAAAGTAGATCTTCTGGATTGTTAAAGGTAATTGTGACCTGTGATGGTTAAACTGATTTTGCATGGACGGGTTTGCGGTGAGCATTTCTAAAATTCACTTCACTCATTTTCTTCTTGAAGCAGTGGCTGTGGAGAGAGGAGATATGGACGATTATTAAATACTTCATTCAAATAAATCCTCTAATCTCTTTTATTGCGTATCAACTGCTGATATTCTCACCGTGTAAGCCAGATCCTCGGGCCTAGATTCTGGTCGCTGCCATTCATGGTTGGACAAAATCTTAAGGACCACCAGGCCGAAGGCTACGATCAGAACTCCTAATACATTTGCAAACACGGCCTCCGGTGGAAGGGCAGCATAAGCCTGATTTGCACTGCCTTGGCTGTGGAAAAATACGTACAAGAGGGCAATTTTATCATTATATCTTAAGGGAAAATATTGATTTAAAAAAAGTAACTCCAAAATATGGCACTCACAGAACAAAGAAGAGTTTCTCATTGATTCCGGAGATGCAGGCGGCGATGCTGAGCCACAGGATGCTGCCTCCCATCCACACATGGACAGGCTTCAGGAGAGCACGCAGTGACATGGGGGAGCAGGGCAGGAGGAAGCCCGCCATACCCACCACCCACTGGACCGAAAGGGACAGACGTCCACAGATACAGTGAACAAAAACAAAGACCATGCCCACCGTAATCAACTTGACAAATGCAACGATTTCAGTTTCTGCGTGTCAAGTCTACCTGTATGGCGAAAAGAGCTGTGGCAGCGATTCCAATCCAGCTGTGCAGAGAGTAGAGGTTGGGGATCTTTTTGGTATTGTGGAAGTCGAACACAGCACAGAGCCCCACGACGGACAGGATCAGGGCGAGGAGCATCACTGTGGCGTGCAACAGTTTCCAGGGGAGTTTATTCTGACCCCAGGTCAGGGGGACGCGGTACAACACAGCTCCTGTAGGGAGGAGGCAACGACAGACAACATGCTGAAGTCATTCGTACACTCCAGTTAATGTCTATTGGTTATAAAGGCATTTAGGTTCACGTGCTTTTGGCCTGAAGACAAATGTTTTGATCGTCTGTATTACAAACTGGAGGCATGGAGTTTGAAACACATGGGCATTGTTGCATTATGGGAGATGTAGGAGCTGGTGTTTTTAGGAGATTAACTCATACCAGGTACTGAACGTTGATGTTAACAATATTTAATATTGTATGAAGCAATGTCTGTAGTGTCATTTGTGTGTTTATGAACAAAACAAACTGCAAACAGAACTGGTGGACTCAGACATGGCCAACATGATGACGTGTGTGTAATGTCAGTAAATAAGTATTTACTGACATTTATATCACTTCTGCCTCAGTTTTTGACATACCTTCGACACCATTTAATATCCAGAGGCGCTGCCCTATGTGTGCACTGTACAGTCACCCTGATACAAATCTAATGTGATTTCACTGAGCAAAAGTGTGAACTGTCTACCTTGTATTGCTCACAGAACTCAAGACAGAAACAAACATTAGCCATCACTAGAATACAATGTACCTTGGTGGAGATTTATTGCTGAAAGGCGTCTTCTTTCATTCCATCAAATTAAACATTAGATGAAACAAAAACAGTGACTTCAATCACTGAGGTGTGGCACTTAAAGCAGAAGAGCCCACATGTATGAGACTGAAATGATGCATTTAATTATACACTAGGTGTCTTTGAAGCCTGTAGTGTGTAATTATCTTGATAAAGGCGGACTGTCACACAAGGTACAATAGAAGTGAGAAACAGAAATAAAACAGTTTCATCCAAAACGTAAAACAAAAAAAAAAAAACACGGTACCCACCGTTGCCGTACAGCACAATCAGGCCCGTTACCATCAGGACCGGGTGCCAGTTGAACTGCAGCGCCGAGCTGTCCCAGGCAAAGCCGCCCCGCCACTGGCTGTTCCACAAACACACGCACACCACACAGGCCAGGCTCAGGCCCAGGCACAGCAGGTAGCATATGTAGAAGCTCACGATGGACCACATCCTGCTGAGACCTGTCGGCTGAACCAAGAAGAAGAAGTAGTAACATCAGAACAGATAGGGTGGCGCTGCACTGAAGCGGTTTACACGGTCAGAGTGACATCGCCCAGGAAAGCACTGATTTGGTCATTTGCAGGTCAAAGGATTCCTGAATGTCTCCATTTAAAGGGTTAGTTTGGATGTTTTGAAGAAGGGCTGCAGATGGACATTACAGTTTCAGCTCCCCGAAGGGAAATGCCTGTCTGACGGCAAGGTAAAGCGGTGAAAACATTCTAAATATAGCACACACGTAAACTGATATTGTTTCTTCTCCAAGCTGGGGGCTTACTGACCAGATAAGTAGCCTTCCTCATGCAACAGATCCAAACTATCCCTTTAAGACTGAACTTTCTTTTTCTTTACTGAAGACATCAAGGTCACATGTAGTCATTGTTACAACAGCAATTTCAGTACATGACAGATTCCTTCATCACATTTACACATTGTCAGGCTGTTGAAACAATGGAAATATGTGTGAACAACACTTTTCAATCAAATCCAACGCTAACCCTCCTTGCTCACTCTTTAAACAGCTGCAATGGACACATGCAGCAGCTAACTGCCATCATTGAACGTTCACTAAGTTAAAAGAATGGCAGAAATAAGAAACAATATGAAAATGTACTTAAATTACTTTTAACAATCTCAACTTATCCATTGGAAACACGCTAAACTGCAATAAAAGTGGTTTAAAATTGTTGAAAGTTTCTTATTTCCTTTGACCGACACTATTTATAATCACACCAAACCAACACTTGTATCATATGACAGACATGTCATTGTCATAAGAAATATGCAGTAGTGCTGGACTTCTTACCTGGTCCACCGCTGCTCTGACACTGACAAGACTTCCTACTCTACTGAACAGAAGTTATTGGCTTTCATCTGGTTACTGTTTAACAGATACTCACAGCTCCAGCTGCTCTCACTTCGTGTTTCTCTGGTTCTACTGAATGCTCACTTCCACATTCAGCTGTGTTGCTGAGGGGGAAGCAGTCAGAGGTGGAGGAACAGCTGGGAGATGAGGGGCCAGCCTGCTGCATCTGCTGCCTATAAATAAGATGGAGAGTGAAAGTGGGATCCATTTATCAGTTTGGGTGTAGTCATTAGAAGCATCCGGCAAACAAACAACAACAAACACATTATCTGCTCCAGCCAAACAAACTGACATTATGAAAGGTTTGTTAAGTTTAAAGTGGAGTGAACACTTTTTTTGCAGACTTTCCAAAAGTGACAAAGTGACCAAGTTAGTGCAGCAAAAACCTCAGTGGAAAAAAACAATCGCTTTCTGGCAAAGGGAGACGTCTCGTGACTCAAAGGGCAGGTTACACCTTCAGCGTTGGTGTATTCTTCACGTATCCAGCGAACTATTTCAACGTCAGCAATTTACATTCTGACGTTTCTGAAGTACAGCGTATTAAACAGTGTCATTGCTACAGTATACGTTAACGTGACGGTAATTCACGATACGGCGATATTTTTAATTAGCATGTTTTTTAAACGAAGTCTGGTGTACGTACGTACACGTCCCAAGTTGCGTAGCTAACGCTGCTGCTAGCATGTACACAAACAGTCGGAATAATTCAAGAGATGTTTACCTAAGCCATTTCCTTATTGACAGCGCAAGGCCTTATGGGAAATGTGGTTTTATTTGTCACCAGCACACCCGTCGCCCCCGACGCTATCTAATCGTGATGATTCTACGTTTGAACGGAACAATGTAAGGCAAGGCAAGTTTATTTGTAAAGCACATTTCAACAACAAGGTAATTCAAAGTGCTTCACGTAAAACCATTAAAAGCATCAAAACTAGAAAATGCATTTCCTGCTGAAAATGCATTGGAATGCTGAAAGCTGAAATTAATTGCATAAACATTGCTGAAAGTACAGAAATGGGAGACTACCTGTTTGACAAATGTTGAAGCCTGAAAGCATTTAAACTGCACTGCTGAAAACCCTTCCAGTTGAAATGTCTCAAGTGTCTGTAGCTGAAAGTATGAGAAGAAGACTTTGAAAGTTAAAGTAGTTTAACAGGATTTGAAGATTTCCTCCATAGAGATCCCGTTCAAAAGAAAATTGCAAAAAGCTTAATATTTCAAAAAGTTTAAAGATTACAAATATGAAGTCATATCACCACTCTCCTGAAAGAGCTGAACATTTTGATATTCGAACGGTTTCTGTAGCTTAAAAAAAATGTCAGTGGTAGTGATATTTGTTGTAGTTGTAGTAGAAGTATTATTGGAAGTATTAGTAGCATTAGAATAAGTACTAGTTGTAGCAGTAGTGATATTTGTAGTAGCAGTAGTAGTATTAGTAAGTAGAAGAAGTAGTAGTAGGCATAGTATTTAATATAACAGTAGTAGTAGAAGAAGTAGTAATAGTAAAGTCAGAGAGAGAGAGAGAGAGAGAGAGAGAGAGAGAGAGAGAGAGAGAGAGACTCTGGTCTCTCTGGTAAACTTTCTCATTTGGAGATTGTCTTATGTTTTATCTTTTACAGCTTACATAACTATTGTCCTGCTCTGCGATGTCTTTCCTCGTCTCTCCCTCTTGTGTCGCGGTGTGTGTAAATGTCACTCGAATCAGGAAACTTATCAGAATACCCATATTTGATTGGCTGAGCTGCATCACGTATATCTCTAAATCATGCGTGTGTGTCAGTGCCTCTGTGTGTTTATCAACATCACTAATGAGGTCATATAAACACCTGTGTGCTTGGGTGCATGTTGGTGATTGGAGCACCTGTGTGTTAGAGGCTAATTAAGAGAGATTCGAGTGAACAGTGATTTTCAACAAAACTACCTGTCAAACAGCCCTTTATACCAAAACCATGAGACTAATCAATAAAATATGGATACTGTGAGAGAGATAAGACTCTGGCAAACGCAGAGATGTGTTTTTATGTTTGTGGTGTTAAAAATATGAGCTCCAGCGCAATATGCAAAACTGGTACCGTCTGCTTTCTTTGAGAAATGAGTGGGCAGATTTAACATGTAGTCTAATGGAGCACTTGGTTGGAGTTCATGTCGCTCTGCGGCTCCTTGAGCCAAATGTGTAAATCTGTGGGATTCCAGTCATTTGTCTACGACAAGAACGAGATTAGCTACTTTTCAATCCGAAAATTCTGCATGAAGAGTGAAGATCCTCCCACAGGGTGCTAGCAGAGTGAAGGCTGTCCTTCCATGTCCTCAGCAGTACAGTTAAACAGGGAATTTGATTCAATCCCAGTTTTGATGTGTTTTACGATGCAGAGAACACACCTGCCTGCAACAAGGATCGCACACAACTGTGAAAGACAGAAGCAGAAGTGTCTTGAAACCAATTTGAAGCTATTTTACACAAGTATTCTTCAACATTCTCCCTATATTGGATTTCTATACAATAAGAAAGAGGCTTACTTGTGAAGTGATTTTAAGTGAGGCATCCTTTTGAATTTTCATGTGTAAAGATTATATATTTTCATCTGTATATTGTGCATCCTCATCATTTATATTGTGAGTGGTTTGCGTGAAAATGGAGAAATAGAGGGATTGTAAAAGCAGGCTAAGGACGGGCCTCGTCATTAAAACATAGTAACCGCAGATGAAAGAAATGTCATGCCTTAACTGCATCTCACAGAAAAGACAACACTGTTCCTCATAAGACACTGCTTAGATTTTGATGCCCATGTGTGTGAAATTCTTTTAAAAGATTTTATTAAAAATTGCATAGTGCATAGTCACCCAGCAGACTGAAACTTCACACAGAAGCTTTGCAAAGTGGCAGTGAAAAAAGTGAATAATGTTTTAAAAATACATTTAAATCCGCTCCTATAAAAAAGATTGTCCATGCATTTGCTTCAGCAGACAGTGGAGATAAATACATCCATATTTACACAGTGTGTAAGGTGAAAAACAAAAATCGTGTCTTTCTCCATGAATGTTGGACCCCTTCTCTGCTGCTCAGTCACATAAAGTCAGACTGGTCCAGATTACATGTGACAGGACTGATGAAAGTGGGAAATGAATATTATTATGTTACAGTTTTTAGTGTGTAGTGGTGCCACAGGGCCTCTGTGGTTCAGGTGTTCACAGTGTTAGCAGCTGCGAGGAGTGAGGAGAACAGAGAGTCTGGTCTTTGCTTCAGCACATCTGGATGGTCAAACTCAGCCACCTGTCGGACAAATCACTTACTGTTAGTGTAGGTTTAGAAGCACATAAACTTTATCTTTATCTTTTTTTTAATCTTTCAAACCTCTCCGTTGTCCATGACCAGAATACGATCTGCGTGCATCACTGTGTTGATACGATGGGCGATGGTGAGCATGGTGCAGTCCTGAAAGGCTTCTTTGATGGTGGTCTGGATCAAGGAGTCTGTCTCTGCATCGATGGACGCTGTTGCCTCATCCAAAAGAATGATCTGTTGGAGCAGGGGAAGGACCCAAACGCAGTCGCAGATGAGGCAGCGGGAACAATTCAATGATTTTATTGAAATGGCTTTCAGAGTCCAAATAAAGCAGGTGGTCTGGCAGACAGGTACACCATGCAACAAGGAAGGAATGAAAGACGAAACGACAACCAATAATGAGAAGACAGGACTATTGGTACATCTTAAGTGTCTTATTTGTCTTTTCCTCACTCTGCAATCCTCGCTTCAACCGAGGAGCGAGGATGGTTATCTGAGGAGCCATGAGCGAGGAAGAGCAGCCTTCACAGAAGTGTTTTAAGGGCCGACACGGCCCCTTATTTTTCAACAGTTATTTTATTGGACGCTTCAACCAATCGGACTGATCTGATATTTCTTAACATTACTGACATTTCATAGCCAAGTGAAATCACAGATTAAACTCAAGTCATATATTTGATTTGGTTCATTTTTCACCATCTAGTTAAAATATATGTTAATTGTAGGTCTAAACAACAAAAGCACCATAAGCAACTTTTTTTCATTTTTTTAGAAAGATTTGTCTTTTTATGATCCGTTATTTCCCTCAATAACTTTTATGATGGATACAATTGAAGTCAGAGAGCAGGAGAGACCTTCTGTCAGCAAGGAAAACTTTTTACATCTTTTGTTTTCATTTCATTCAGTTGTGTAAGGCTGATATTACCGATTGTCAGGTTTAATAAGTTACATATTTTTTAATTTCCCCGAAACATTTGGCCCAATAAATTCTTTCCAGTGTTCAAGAGACACCATAATCATATTTTAGGTTATTTGATAATCGCTTCACGATCAGAATATCAATGAATACAGACGCACATAATGAATAAATATACAAATGCATTCTGCCTGTAGAAAACGATTCTGCGCTTATAAGCAGGACACAGAAGACATAAAAAAATACAGAATGCAGTTATTCAAACAGGCAACAGGCTACAGAGAGGAAACACTGCTGCTCTGGCAGTGATGATAGCTGTGTGTCTTATTTATGCCTCTCGTTCAAGGGGGTTGTTGGAGTTTGATTTATCATAATAGCACCATCAACTATATCCATTTGTTTCAATATATCTAAATGTTTGAAACTCACATACATGACATCTGCATATTGAGAACTAGTGTGAATATAGTGTGGTCTGAATAGGTCAACATACAAAAAAACAAACATAGGTTTGCCTTAGTACAGTGATCCTGTGTGCAGACAAACTCCATCAGAAGTCTCTACAGCTGTTAAAGCCCGCTGATCAGCTAATCGGGACAAAACCATGACAGATATGTGGCAGTAGTAATCCAGTGGCTGTTCAGCAGCTGAAAAGTTGGGAAGTGTGTAAGTAGCAAGAAATCAGAATAACAGAAATTAATGTACAAACCTTGGAGTTGCGTAGTAGTGCTCTAGCCATACATATGAGTTGTCTCTCTCCTACAGAGAAGTTCTCTCCATTCTCCAGCACTGTTGCCTGTAGTTTGCCCTCCAGTCTGGAGATCTAAGGAAACAAAACAATACTCATAGAACCACTTATACGTCTGCTTCTACCAACTCTAAGAGTAACCTATACTGACTATGATCAAATAATGATATAAAAACCCTAAGTTTGTAAAATAGTCAAAGCTAACAACTAAAAATTGCTACTTACACATTACTGCATCGGCAATAATAATCAAATGATATCATGGTGTAACACTCACGGTGCATTTTCCTACTGTGCACTTTTACTTTGATACATTAAGTACACAAAGCTCATAACACTTCAGTACTTAAACTCAAGTAAGATCTTACATACAGTGACTTTACTTGTGAGTATTTTCACAGTGTGGTATTGCTACTTTTACTTAAGTAAAGAATTGAATACTTTTCCACCAATGCTACGGTTCATAATACATTTGAAAATAAGGGTTCAATAACATCAATACACCACTGAGACAGGTACTATCTGGTCAGATAACATTTCACTTCAAGATATGCGAGAAGAAATCGCTGCACGCTAGCTAAAAAGATTTAGTCTGGATAACTGATTACACTCTCTAATGAAACTGTTAATGTGCTTCATATTGTCCAGCGAACATACAGAGTCCTTCATGTAGGTCTTCTCCAGCGCTGCCCAGATCTCCTCATCATTGAAGTTATTGAAGGGGTCTAAGTTGTACCTGGAGGAAAGGACATGCACTATCACAGTTGGCGAGCCAGTGACTAACCCACCACAGTGAGAGCAGTGTGTACCTGTGTGTAAACAGAAAGCTCTATGGAGTTAGGGGTTAGCTTAGGTTACCTGACCGTTCCAATGAATAGCACAGGATCCTGGGGAATGATAGACAATTTGCTGCGCAGATCCTGCAGACCAATGGTCGTAATGTCCACGCCATCTATCAGGATGGTCCCTGATGCTGGCTCCACCAGCCTGAACAAAGCCACGCCTAGAGAGGACTTCCCTACAGAAACAAAGAACAGTAACCCTAATGGTTTACAGAGGCAGGTCCCCTTAGGACCCTACAGCCATGTCTCTACAAGTCAACACTCTAATCCAAGTAAGTTCTTTCATTTACACATCTAAATCCAAAGACGCTATTAAACTGGGCGATCAGCATTTGCGTTGTAGAAGATATATTATGATCAATATAGACTATAAGTTTTGTGATTTATTGTATTGCATATATGTTGCTTATTATATGATATGACGTATTGAAATTTAGGACTGTTCAAAATTAAAATCTGATAATTAGTGATAGTTTCCTTCAATCAAATCATTTGAATATGTCTGAGTCATCTTGACATTTTCTGAATTGTCCATTTACACCAAACTCAACCTGCATGAAAAACAAAGTTATGAGTAAAAACTGCTGGAGTCAAGGTTTTACCAGAGCCTGTCCTTCCCACAATGCCCAGCTTCTCTCCAGCTCGGATGAAGAAATCGAGTCCGTTCAGGACAATGGGTGTATTTTCTCGGTACCTCATCTTATAGTCCTGGAAGGTGATGGTTCCGCTCTTCGGCCAATCCTCTGGGACTTGGGCCTCCTTTATTTGCCTGGGGGCCTCAGACGTACAACCCTGTACACAATAAACAACAATTACTTTGAGGGAGGGGAAAGGTAGTGTGTCAGAGAAAAATTTACTTCATAGAAGAGAAACTATTAGCTTTAGAAACTGTTGTCCTCGAGTAGTTTAATGGACAGTTTCAAGAAGACCAGTAAAAAAATGGATGGATTGTTGGTAGGTGTCACGCAGCCTGTGTATACAGCAGTGGTGGGCCGTCAGGGCCTTCTCTGCTGGCCTAAACAGAATCACAAAGTTATAGCTATTTTATAATTTAATAATTTTTCTTAAATACACTAAATGTATTTTAATTAATAAAAATATTTTTCCCATTGTCTTATTTTCTCATTGCACAGCTACTGTCTTCCTCAGTTGCTCTGCTTCCAGTGCAGCTTGTTTTAAGTAGAGCTTTTATCCAATCAGATTTCACCTCTGTGTCTCTAGGTAAGAAGAGAGGCCCGAGGCCTGCAGACTCACAAGTGAATCCATGTGCAGTTTAAGTGAATGGGGACGATATTGTTGATTGTCAGAGTGTTCAACCAATCAGATCTATAGTTTGACATGTTGGGCGTATTCTTTGACGTGTCAGAGCCTGCTAGCTGGCCTATAACTACGTCAGCATTACATGCAGCTCAGTTTCCAGGTGCAGCTCTGAAGTGAGGTGCAGCGTGTGCTGTGATTGGTCAGTGGGCGAGCACGTGACTATCGTGAAACGAAACTTAAAGTAGCCAGCAAAGCTTAGTCGGAGTAGTGAGAGTTCAAATTGAAAGATATGGAAGAAATGACATTTTTTTGCATTTTGCTTGGTGTAGATTTTTATATTTTTTACCTGGCTTTGTTTTTTTAACACTCAATGGCTGAACGGATTTATTAGGAGATGTTTCAGCTGCAGGACAGCAATGAAGGCCCAGGTATAAAATGCACGGCCCGTCACTGGTATGTGTATCATTCAGCGTCGGAAATACACGAGGGCAAAGGGCAAAACTGCCCCTAAGAAATATAGTTTTGCCCCTGATATCACTAGGAGAGGGGCAAAAAATGCCCCCGAACTTTCTAAACAAATAAAAAAATGGAGCGCTTCTTAATCAGACCTGTGACTGCGGTCAACTCAGCAGACACTTAAATTTTAGTGCACCTATATGCTGAAATCCACGGTAAACGCATTCAAACGGCACAGATCGGGAGCGAGCGAAGGACTTTGAAAGTTAACGGAAAGATTAACGTGAGACAACATCCGGTTTCTTCAGACGAACATCCGGTTTTCAGAATAAGATGCCAACAAAGTATACATATTGCATAATGGAAATTAGATTAAATGAATTATATTCACATTAAGTATAAAACATGCTACCTGCATCTCGTGAGTTAAAGGGAAAATACACCTAAATTGTGTGTAAAGTGTCTTTGTTTGATTTGAGGGTTGCTGGAAATGAATAATACTTGACTGACAGTCAATTAAGATATTTTACTAAGTAAAAACTCTGAACTGAATTTGTACCTTCAAATGGCACATTTTTTAAATTTTTAAGGTGCTATAAAAATGTTTTTCTCAAAAATTCCACACAAGGACTAATGCATAAGTTCAGGACAAAAATGGGTAATATCACAATATTTGAGGTGCTACAAAAATATTTTTTCTCAATAATTCCATACAATGACTGATTTATATGTAATCAAGGCATCGTTGACTTAATAATTGTTAATAGTTGTTTAAAACATTTAATAATAACAATAAATAACCACAAAGAAATAAGAATAAAATTGAATATGATTGTCTGATTCAAGTTTGTTTTTTGTTAAAAAAAAAATCTAAGAAAACACTTTGGATCTGTAGACTACTGCTAATAGTCTTATTATTGCCATTTTATGACAATTGCTCATATACTGTAAGCCTAAATAAGTATATTTATTATTTTGAACAAAGGTTAAATGTTATTTCACAAGTTTCAAAAAGTCCCCCAATTTTTTGAAAATGCCCCTGGATTTCAGTCAGGGACAAAAAATATGTAAATTTCCTACCCTGGTATCATTATTTTTCAGAGGCAGAGAAGTTTAGAGTCTGACCGTGATGTATTCCTGAAGCCGCTCCACCGAGTTGAATCTAACCTCCACCTCCGTCGCCAGCCTCACTGTATACTGAACAATGCCTGTCAGCTGGACAACACATCAACATCTTTAAATACACACGTTGCAGTTGCTTTCAGTGTATTTTTACAAAAATAAACCAAAGATTCATTCAATTTCTGTTACAAATTCACCTGTATTGTGTAGGACAAGGCCAAGCCTTTCAAAGACGGACTGATGAAGTCATTACTGCTGAGCACTACGAACAGAGATACTAACAAGATCATGGTTGAAGCCATGGAGTCCAGGCAGACGGAGAGCCAACGTGTTCCAGAGTAAAACAATAAATAGTGGTTGGAGTTGATGTCATTCAGTGACTTGAACCTACAATGTGATAAAGAACATGCAGGTTTGTGAACATTCATACTGTACCGCCTCATCCCCAATGATCCGTAACGCAGCATTTAAAACGCAGACCAGGTTTAGAGACTCTGACTGAAACATCACCTGCTACTTTTGCACTGCATCTAACGATAAAGCAAGGAAACTCTATGAGTGACTGTCCTTTGCTTATCTCGAGAACTGTTGATTTGATCTACTTCAAACTTGGCGGTTGTACTGCTGGGGACCCAAGGGAATGCAGTGTGAATTGTGGTGCGATTTGATCAGTAGGTGGCACTACAACAACAAACTTTGCGTTTTGGCCCGAAACTTTGGAGATGTAAGTGAAAAAATTCCCAACGTTTTGTTTGTTGTTCTGTCATAGATTTAATGCTATTTTCTTCACTTTACTGAAAGCCAACAATGACCTCATAGGGTAACTTAAAATCAGGTTATAATGCATTATAACAGTTTTTACAACGCATTACTCGAACTCTCTAATGTATTAGAACTATGGGAATTCTAATACACTATGATTTAAAATTGTGCATCAAAAGAATTACATCAGGATACATTTTAAGTTGTGTCCAAATTGTCACCCCGACAACACTGCAAACAGCAATATGAGGAGCCACACAGTTGAGTCATGTCGAGGAACTTTGCTATCTTACAGTCTTATGTGTCTGTCTCTTATGTTGTAGGCATGGATGGTGCTGAGGCCCTGTAGGGTCGAGGTGGTGAGAGAGATGCAGGGAGAACGACTGACATTCTCCATCCTCTTCATCTGACGGATACTCCTCTGGAAGATACTGTCGATGAATCACAAGTGATATATTTAGTTTGCCTTTAAAGAACTCTTGTACTGAACCTGCTTTTAAGACGTGCAACAATTTAAATGATTGTGAATTGCTACCATCCTATTTTCCAAAAGTACCCATACAAATCATTTTTTTCATGTTTAAACTGGTATCAACTCACAAAAGAATGAGGCTGAACAAAGCTCCTATGAAAACCACAGCTGCCAGCATCGGGGGGAAGACTGCTGAGATGGTGATGATGGTGAAGGTGACCAGCAGAGTATACTGGAAGAAATTGTCTATGTTGAGGGGAAGCACTGTGTCCACCTCCTCTTGATCTTTGGAGAAGCGATTGAGAATGCGTCCTGTTGGCGTCGTGTCAAAGAAACTCATGGGACTGGAGAAGATCTGAGAAAGGAAAACAAAAAAAACGTCATCATAAACGTATATTTATAGGGAGTAGTTAATTTGAGGGTGATGAGGGAGGATGGCATTGCCTTTGTTCATAAAATGACCAAAATGCATCCCCTTGTTAAGCTCCCATCCCTCCTCTCCATCCTCTAGTAGCAGAGTGAGGACAGGGCCAGAGGGGTTGTTTAATTGAATATGTTAGTCTAGTCTGTCTCACTAATTGATCTGACTGAGGTTTTGGGCAAGAATCCATGGCCCAGACGATGGTTATGAAATATCCAATATCCATTCTGCTCTCTGGATCGTGCATCCAACAGTACCTTCTTGAACATGGTGTCGTGGAGTTTGGTGGCCGCATTCAAGGTCACCCAAGTTAAGGAGAAGCATTTGATGACGGCAAGTGTCACCATGACGACCACCATCACAGCATAAATAATTTGGTAGAAGCGCAGGTGAGGATTTTGTGAGACGTCTCCTTGGTTTGAGGTTGTGTTATTGGATGACTTAAAAAAACAGAAAATATATGATGTTAGTGGAAACCAGGTCCAGAGAGACAATTTATCAACGCAACATATTTTTTTTGAATGTTTTTTATACTATTGTGAATACAATCGTCAACAATTGGTGCAGATATGTGGAAATAAAATGTTTCACATATTTAGCACAGTTTACTACAGTTATACAGTTAAGTTCTATCTGTTCAATATAAGCACACCGCCTCTATCGCTGCCAATATAGACAAAGCCAGTTTGGTTCAGCCGTAAACACAGACAGTGAAGTTATGTGAGGTAAAATAATTTGCAGAGATATGCAGCAATACCAACATCTGTGCACATCTGACCAACTATGTGAAAAAAAGTGTGTGGCTGTTGGATTGTCGGTTTTGGAAAAGGTAAAACAGACACTCTGTGAAGTGACCTATTCACAACCCTCAGACTTTCCATAAAACATGCCCATTGGAGCATGAAATAATCTTTATTGTTTCCAGCTGTGGGAAGTCACACACTTACTGAAAACACATTCAAATGAAACCAGGGGTGTGTGTGTATGTATGTATGTATGTATGTATGTGAGAGAGAGATATGGTTCTCACCCCGTCACCCTGCCCCAGCCAGAAGCTGAGCCACCAGTTGCTGAAGGCTGTGGATCCAATCATCAGGAAGTAGTTGAGGATGGTAAGGAAGCTTACTGTGTAGCCTGCAGCACAGTCACATCAAACATCATCAACCAGGTTGTCCATGTGTAAATTGTGTATTATTGCATATATCATGACAATGCATTTGTGTGTGTGTGTTTTCGGTGTTCAAACCTCCAGCTGCCTTGCAGTATTGCTGGTAGACTCTCCAAGAGACGACACCTTCTGTGGTGGACTCCTGACTGACCAGCTGATCATTGACAGGTGCTTAAGAGGAAGAAAAGTGAAAACCACTGTAGGAAGGGGAGAGATGTGATGATTGTTGAAATATGGGAATAAATGGGGAAAAACAAGAACGATCTTGAGAGAGAAGCTGTGCCGGCCCTTCTGGCCACTTAACGCACACATCCTTTGTCTTTCACGTTCCCACATTAAAATGGAACCAAATGAGTCCGACATGCTTGCAGAGACTGGATGTGTTGGATCTGAACTTCACTGACGTCAGAGTTATTATTGAATACGTTTTCCAGACTTACATCTTTGGTTAGTTGTCATTCCATTGTCCATTTCAAGCGACATATCAAATGCTGAAAGAGAACACAGATGTGGAAGGGAGATATCAATAAAATGACAGAAGAAATATCTGTCATCTTTATGCTGTAGACCGTAATAAGGACACACATGCCCAAATAAAACAATGATAGAGTATATTAACAGTCAGGATTGTAGATTTGTTGCCCTGTCTTCTATTGTTTTACAGAGCTTTGACAAAGTTCATTATCCTTTCTTTTGTCGACCAAGGTCCCTTTGTTACCTCGATGGACAGCTGGCTACCTTTTACCTCCTCCTTGTTATGTATTGACACGAATGGCACTTTGGTCCACAATGAATTGTGCTAAAAGTAAAGCAGAATTGTATAGAATATCCCCAACTGCTGATGCTCTCTAAATTGCTTTCAGACAATAACGTGCAACACCTCCAGGTTGTCTTTGTACTAAACTCTATGATAATCTCCAGCCTTGTTTTCGTTAAAATTTAACTTAAGTGATGAATTGCGGCATCTAAAATGATCCCATATCAACTATTTTAGATGAAAAAAACAAACATGTTTTCTTGATTCCATACCTGGGTTCACTAACCCACTGTCAGTGCTTTCTCTTAGCTCAATATCCCTCAGCTGGGCAGCGTCTTGGGGAGACACTTCCTCCTCCTCATTCGGAGTCTGAATGACAAAGCAAAAGCGCAGTGATATTGCTGAGTCTGGACAAGTTGACGACAACTCACTTCCACCCTAAAGTAAATGATGAATCGTTAACTAGTCGAAGACATGGTTCTGCCTCCTATAAACCTCTGACACTTTTAGTTTACAGCTTACGTGCATCGGTTTAATGTTTTTAAGCTAAAACCCAATAAAGAACCGGTGTAAGGTTTCGCAGCTATTAAAACATGGAGGAAAGACAAAAAAGCTATAGTACATTAAAGTTTTGTACTGTAGATTTCCGTGTTTACCTCGGGCTGTTCCATCTGGTAGTTGCTGATGAGCTGAGCATAGCGTGCATTGGCTTTCATTAGGTCCTGGTGGTTTCCAGCCTCCTGCACCTCGCCATCATCCAAAAGTATAATGTCATCACAGAACTCCAGATACTGACAGACACAAGTGAGGACAACCATGTCAACAAACCATCTCAGCACTGTGGCCCGGGTTCTACCTAACGTAGTCTAAACAGCACGTGTTGACATATATGACACTTGGCAGACGCTCTTATCTTGTGGTGTACAATTCACGATGCTGTACTAATGGCTGCAATCAGAAATCAGAAACCACTTACTGGTGTTTGATTTGCTGTTACTTTGGGGTTCACCACAATAGGATGGATCTTCAAATCATTTTTTTATGTGTTTTAAACAAGTATGCAAATTGAATTGAGAAATGTAATTCTTAATATTAAGCTATTTAGGATTCACTATCTGCTAAAGAATAAAGCTGTGTCTACCTGGAGCTGGTGTGTAATCAGTATGATGGATTTTCCATGGAGCTCTTTCTTAATGCATTCCTCAAAGATGTGTTTCCCCACATGGGCATCAACAGCAGATAGTGGATCGTCAAGGAGGAAGATGTCCTTATTGGAGTAGACAGCTCTGGCTAGACTGATCCTCTGCTTCTGCCCCCCTGACAGATTCAGCCCTCGCTCTCCGATCTGCCAACAAAACAGCAGAAAGCTGATAAGATCGCCGACAACACGTCACGATATGGTACATTACAAAATCTGCTTTTCCCTTTTACTAACTTACAATATAGGAGAAATAAAACTAATCACAGTTTAAGATTAAGTCAGAAACATCCGTCAGACTTGGAACTGATCCCAAATTGTGTCGCAAATTTGGATATGCTAAACTCAAACCTAAATGAATAGGTCTAGTATTCAACTTGTAATTGTTTAGTTCTGACTCAGACTTCAACATACCATTTATTTACATCATGCAATACTTTTTTTGTAAAATGACTGTACTTTGCACAGTAGATGATTGTTCCTGTCTCACTGAACATCTGGTTTTATTTTCGGTTTCATGAATGAATTGCAATAGTAGACAGTGAAAAATAACATTTGACAGTTTGTAGTAATTTTTTGGGAAATTCAATGCTGTACAAAACAATTGTTCAAAGAAAGAAAAGTGAAGTGAATTATTGATTGATACCAACTAATGTTTACCTCATTCCATCTTTTGTTAATGCTAATGTCCGCAAGGAGTTTCCTACCCCTCTTCAGAGGGTGTTAGTGTTAAAAGTTCCACTCAGCTTGTAAGAAATCATTCAAAAGCAAAACAAACATTCAGCTCGGGGAGTTTTAAGTACAGCAGAAGGCCCTCACCTCAGTTTGATCACCATATGGGAGGATATCCAGGTCAGCTCTGAGACTGCAGACATCCACAACTCTGTTGTATCTGTGGAGGAAGACAATCAGTTACCTTAATGTCAAGAGACAGCGGCGTATAGTGTATTCAGGTGAGCCATTTTAAAGATGAGATTTGAATATTTAATTCAGTTAACTTAAATGATTACATACTTGAACTGGTCAAGAGGTTCTCCCATCAGGATGTTTTCTTGAACAGTCCCATGAAATATCCAGGCCTGCTGGGCAACGTAGGCAAACGTCCCATCAGCTGTGAGGGAGCCCTGCTGAAGGTGCATCTAAAATATAAAAGTGAGCAGACCACCATGCGGAAACCTGTTCGTTACATGGCATCAGTTAGATCTGGTTTATCGAAATGTAAATAAGGACCATCATTTTTACATAACTGTAACAGAGTGGTAATAAAATGGTAAAAATCAACAGCCGATAGAAACGTCAAACATTATGTCAGGAACTTGCAGGGATTGTAAAAGAGAATAAAGAACAAAAAAGACAAAAGGAGGCGCCAACCTGTTCCAAAATGCTGGAAATCAGTGACGTCTTTCCACTCCCCACATTCCCACAGATTCCAAGCAGGTTGCCCTTCAGGAGATAACACAGAGAGAGTTTGGGTTTAACCTTTAACCCTATCTAGATCACCTTATATATTCTCACCAGTCGTAAAACACACCTTAGGCAGTGTGAAGGAGATGTTTTTCAGGGTTGACAAGGTTTCAGTCTCCCCAATAACTGAGATGATGGGTAGAGAGTCTGGCTGGTTGGCTCGTTTGTTCCAGGAAAGTGTTGCATTTTTCATCACTACGGCTGAATCACTGTCTTCTCTCTGGATCAGGTAGGGCTCTGGATTGTGGATCAGCAATATTTTCTGAAATAGCCAAACATTGCATTTATAAGCTTTTTTTTTTAAACTGTAATAATTTGATTTTAAGTGTGAACTTGTTCCACAACAGCAACAAACAATGAAAGCTGGCAATGAAGTTGTAGCAAAGAAGATAGCTCCAATAACAATGAAAATGGAAAAACAATGTGGTAACAATACAAATTTTCATATTTTAGAGATTAAAGGCAAGTGTGAAGTTTGCACTGCAGGTTGGTGTGCATGTTAAAACTCCATGCAAGCTGTTAATGTTTGAAATGAATAATGATAAAATAAAAACTATGTCATGTTAGTCTTCAGATTATGAGCTTTGGTGGGGGAGGCCATATTTACAAATCATTATCTATCATCACCAGAAGGCACAATCTTGCAGTTCGTATGGCTGGATGACATCACAGCAAGATGACTTTATGCAAGATCAGAGTAATAATGAATACCGTTGCCAGCTGAGCAGGACAAAAAGAGAGGAGTTTACCCTCAGTCGTTTTAGTGAAACAGCAGCCTCAGCCAGGGTCTTCGCAGACATAGGCATAAGAGACATGCAGAACCTCAAGGAGTTGAAGATGGTGATGGTGGTGAAGGCCTGTCCATTAAAAAGAATGATGATCACACTATACAACACTGACATTTATTTTCAATACATCAGTACAATATCAACCATGTAAATCACACATATGGGCATGATGGCAATGGTTGTTGTACTGCACTGCAGCAGTACTCACATCAGTTGTGTTGAGGTTCAAGCTCAACGAAGTGTGTACAATGAAGGTGAGAATGGTGGCCAGGGTGGGGATGATGCCGACGATGCTGATATTGGCGTTCTGGACGTAACCGACCTTCTGCAGTTCTTTCATCTCATTTTTCCGGAAGCCTAAGAGAGACAGCATCACATGTTTGGGGAACAATTTCAGTTGTTTATAAACTTTACTTCTACTTATATTAGCTGACACCAAAAGGTGGAGGCAAGGGCATATGGGAGCTCAACCATAGATTCCTGTTTTGCATATATAAGCAGCTCGTTCTATATCAGTAGAAGGTGGAGTGTATGTGGCAGCCTCATTTTCAGCCTCTGGTGCCTCTGGCAGCATGGCTATGTGATTTGTTTTTATCAAAAACGAATACAAAACAAGATCCAGATTACTGTAAAAGGTGCACATAATTTCCCTTGAACTTCCCCGTTTTGCTCCATGGAAAGTAGCACACGCGACTTTCAAGATTGGGTTTGTGTTTATACAAAAGGACTGTATAAATGATTAACATGATATTTGATATTCAAGAAAGGTTAAAAACATGTTTGACCGGATGACAAAGTCTCTCTAACTTCATACCTGTGATCTTCTTTTCAAAGGAATCTTCCCAGGCGTACATCTTGATGAGCTTGATACTGTTGATAATCTCATTCATTGTGCAAACACGGCTGTTGTTTATCAGTACAGTATTCAATCTGAGTGTTTTAAGTAGTTTGCCAACGCCATACTGAAAGCAGAAAAAATATGAATCTTTGTGTCAATTGTAAACAAGCCACAAAAGAGCAAATACAGATATGTTAGTGTTGTCCACGTTGATGGCTAAATTAGTTAAAATTAATTAGTTAGAAAGCTTTAAATATTTGCCAACTACTAGATAAAATGCATTTTTGTTTATAACCTTTGATTATTGCAGTACCTCTTTTTAGCTCCGATTGTGATGTGGCTCGATTAAATCTGAATCCATTTATTTTACACTGCTCATGAAAAAATGTCGAATTAATAACTGTTTGTGCGGTTTCCAATGTACAGACCTGTACTGGGATGAAGATGAGGTAGGTGCAGACTCCAGTCAGTGCGGTGTAGCCCAGAATGTAGCAGGCATAGACAATACACACAATAAAGAGCATTGGGATGGGCACCATGAAGCTCCCCAACACTACTGCCTCGAATAATGTGTGGCCATCGTTGGTCAAAACACCAATCATCTGGATGGGAGAGAAGGGGAGAGAGACTGTAATCTACATTTGCCAAGATCACTTTGCCAAGGCAAGTTGCTTGAACTAATGGTGAGAACTGTAAGAAGATTGTAGAAAAGTATGAAAGCATAAAAGTATAACTATTACAACATATAACCTGTTTTATTTCATGATAGAAACTGCATAGACGCCTTATATAAAATAGAAACTCAAGCCTTGTATGATCCTTACATCCTGTGTTTGCCCTTAAAACAGGATGACACGTGTGTGAGTGACGTATGAAACCAGGGGAGGTACTAGTCTCAGACCAGCATAAAAGCAGCAGCATAACTGAGGGAACTCAGTCTTCACCCCGAGAGGTGACTGGAAGACGCCTCTGCTATCAGAAGAAGAGCCGGTTCCAGCATAGAGACCAGATCACACTTCTATTAGAAGAACACTAGGCTTAAAGGTCTTACACCCTTAGGGGTGACTGGAAGATGCTTCTGCTATCAGAAGCCGGCATGGAAAAAAAATGAAAAAAAACACAGCGAGAGCTGACAGAGAGCCGGTAAACAGCAGGATTGTCCGCATTAGCTATTGTAGCACTGAGACCATTTCATTGAATTCAAATTGTGGTACGTGACTTTAATTAAACCACAGCCTTACCATTTGTAAGTGACTAGGATCCAAACTAAGTACTCTGATTCTTTAGAATAATTTAACCCTCTTCCCCTGTCCATGAAACGTGTGATACACAGGTGACCCTATGAACTTAAGGTAAGTTCCCTGGGTGAAGACTTGGCAGTGTTAGTCAAAAATAGTGAGAAACTTAAAATAGGCAATAGTAAAGTATAGACGATCGATATACTGTAACTATTCATACTGGGTTTTTTAGGGTTGCATCCTACTGAGAGCGCCTAGGGTGCAGCCGTACAAGATTCTCAGAAAGACAATAATTCCGAAATCCAAACGATTCAGCTACGGGGTGAGATAAAAGGCCGAAGGTATTTTTCTGACACCTCTGTGGGACACTAAAACCCACTAAGGTTGGTCGGATTACCGACAGATTTACCACCGTGTTAGGTGCGAGCCTGCCCCTCTTTCCCGCTCATGCTACAGAACATACAGTATATTGTCAGGGGCCATTCCAGGTTCCAGGGGACTGGGTAATAGGCTTCAAAAAGTAGAGCAAAGTCAATTCAGCTGGTTTAATCTTGTTTAAAGACAAAGTGAAACCAATCACGCACTTGTTTCATCATGACCATGTATGCAGCCTTTCAGTATTTCACACTAAAAGTCCCACTAGCCATATTTTCTTTTTACACATGACCATGTTTCAACAGGTTAATCAAAAATATCCAGCAAGTTTGGTGATGTTTGGACTAACTATCTTCGATTTATGACCAAATTTGCCCCCATGCACATGTTAAAAACTAGTCTCGCCCTCTATTGAGTGATTTTGAAACATTTTCACACACGTGGTTTAACATTGTCATGAAACATAGCCTGCAAGTTTTGTATTGATTAGACAAACAGTTTCTGATTTATAGACCAATTTGGGTTGTGCCACACTCATCTATTGTATTTGAAGCGCTACCTAGTGGTCAATTCGACTGAAACTTATTTCAGGTACTGTTGTAGATACACCCTGCAAGATGATTGGCCAAACAATTGTTGAGTTAGGTATATAAATGTGGTGAGGCAGGACCCCTGGAAGTTCATTGGTCAATACCTTGAAAGCTTTATAATATATCAACAAGGTTTTGATCATTTTGTTTAGCTTGGTCCAATATTGATTCACAGACAATTTGGTAGCAATCAGATCTACATTTAAGGAGGAGATGACAAAAATGTATGTTTCAAAAATTCCAAATGGAGAAAAATGTAGTGGGCGAACTTATATGGTCAGAGTGTGTCAAATTTTAAATCAATCTGACTTGATGGCGAAAGTTCGCAGCCTTTTTTGTGTGTTGGCACATTACTGCGCCACCATGTGGCCGAAGTCAGATTTCTTTGGCCAAGTTTCTATTTCTTGCCATTTCCAGCTCACAGGGAATCCCTTTGGAGCTAGAACCCTAAAAATGCAATAATATTGACTAAAATGTTAGATGAAAAGAAATATATATACTGTATATATATTCAAGAAGGGCATTATGCAGTTGTCCCCTGTGACACCAACTACATGTGCACTTGATGTATGTCCACATTAAAAATACATATTAAAAAAAACTTTTTGACCTGGACTGACCCCAGTTTAAATGTTAAACTCCACAAATCTAAAACAGACATAAGGTATATTGAAAATATATATTTTTTTACACTACTTTCTACAGTTCACCAAGAGTAAGAAGATCTCTCAAACGATGGGCAAAGAGATTTTGGTGTATGAGATCGCTTTCCTAGAGAAATGCAGGAACCCTACCTCTCCCATTGAAATGCCGCTGTGAACCCGCAGAGAGATGACTTTCTGAAAGGCCACTGAAGAGAAGGCTCCCTTCAGTCTGACTGCAGTGCGCAGGTTCAACGCCCACATCAAGGATAACAGGAGGGCTTTGGAGAACTCAGTGGCGAACAAAGCGAAGGACAGACCAACACCGTAGGATACTGTGAACTTCCCTGGGTCCTCATTATAGTTCAGGATCTCATAGACCAGAACAGCCTGAGAGGACAGAGATGTTTGTAACACACAAAAGAGCATTAATTATTGAACAACCATTACATTTGTGTCATAAAACCTTTGTGATGTCACCCATAAAGCCTTTAATTGCATTTCTTGACCATTTTTCTGCATAATGAGAAGTTCTACTTTTCATACTTTAAGTAAATTTAGCTGATTATTTCTGGTATTTTAACCAAGTAAAGTTTTGAACGCAGTTATTTTACTTGTAGTGGAGTATTTTACAGTGGTATACTTGCACTTTTACTTAAGAAAAATATCTGAATACTTCTTCCACCACATTTACAGTGAATGTGATATTAGGAAAAACTTCAGAAAAGGCTCCTGGATCTGGTATCCAATAGAGGAGGCACTGGTACTGGTCCTGATATTTAGCTTCAAATGTAATTACCGGGCCCAGAAATGCTGCCACCATGGCAAGGACACCAACAGTGACTGAGAGAATCAGCCTGGTTCTTTGAAAGCGAAGGATTACTCGGACCAGAGAGGCCTTCTCCAGGCCCACCTTTGCAACCTCTTCCTCCCAAAGTCTGTGGAGTCTGTGTACAACACACAATATTCACCATATTAAATTATGAATCAAGTAAAACAGTGACACACACACACACACACACACACACACACACACACACACACACACA